GCCAGCCCATGAAATCATAACAATGATTCATGATTTCGTCATGGAAATTCATGATTTCATAATGCAGTGGAATCAAGGCCGCTACAAGCGTTACACGTACTTGGCAAACCGTGTTCATAAACCGCACTACATAGGTATCTCTTATACGCCTTTTGTCTTCCGTCTTATACAAGTACTGATAGTCTAGTGGTCAAAGAATGGGTTTGATAATCTCAAGGTTCTTGGTTCGAATCCAGTCTGATGCTTTATTCTATTACATTTACTTTTTACATTTTTTTTGGTAAAAGTTAAACCCATGAATTTTAGATCATGATTTGAAATCGGATGATTCATGATTTTGGGAATGTTTGCTGCGTTACGCAAAAGTTGCTCATGATATCATGAATATTATTCATGGTGTATTTTCATAACATGAAAATACGCTTTGTTCATGAAATCATGAGTCATTTTTCTCATTTCGGAGATTGGATTTTTTCCCGTGTATACTTTGTTACAATGATTACAGCTTATTTTATATACACCTGCTTTACCTAAAACATTAACTGGGTCTTTAGTGGATCCTAACAATGATTTCAACTGGTTATGTCTACTGGTGAAAACTAAATCTAATCCGAATTGTTTTAACTGTGGTCTTAGCTTACAATTAATATCTTGATCAAATGGAACGGACACTCGTTTCAATGATTCAGGTGCTGTGGTGAGGGTTGTAAATAATCTCCTTTGTAGAATTCTCGCTTTTTTATCGATGATTGCCTGGATTGTGGTCTCCTTGTATCCGTTGAGTCTTGCTGTTTCGAAGATGTACTGTAATTCCTCAGGAGACATCAACGAGGACGAGATTATGGTATCTTTCGACGTCACAGCTCTTTTTCCCAGCGTACCGGTCAAGGAAGCGATCAACCATTTGGAGGACTGGCTATTAACACAACGAGAGGATGCAGCATGGAGAAACAAGGTTAGGACGTACCTTAAGCTGACCCGCCTTTGTATGGAAGAGAACTACTTCTCTTTCCGAGGTAACTTCTACAAGCAGACGAAAGGAGCCCCAATGGGAAACCCCCTATCCCCCTTCTTGTGTGAACTTTTCATGGCCAACTTGGAGACAATCCTGAAGGAGAAAGGACTATTACCAAACCGTTGGTGGAGGTTTGTTGACGATATCTTCAGCGTAGTTAAACGGGAAGCCCTTCCACAAATTTTAGATGAGATCAACAGAATTCATAACGATATCAAATTCACTCACGAGGTAGAAAAAGACGGGAAACTCGTATTTCTCGATCTTCTAGTCATCAGGGAATCGTCATCATCTTCCTCGCTTGAATACGAAATTTACAGGAAACCAACAAGCACCAAAAGAGTTATCCCCTATACTTCCAACCATTCGTTCCAGCAGAAAATGGCCGCCTTTCACCACATGATTCACCGAATGCAGACTCTTCCACTCAGCGATACAGGAAAGGTTAAGGAATTACAGTACATCTTCGAAACAGCAAGACTCAACGGATACAAGGAGACCACAATCCAGGCAATCATCGATAAAAAAAGCGAGAATTCTACAAAGGAGATTATTTACAACCCTCACCACAGCACCTGAATCATTGAAACGAGTGTCCGTTCCATTTGATCAAGATATTAATTGTAAGCTAAGACCACAGTTAAAACAATTCGGATTAGATTTAGTTTTCACCAGTAGACATAACCAGTTGAAATCATTGTTAGGATCCACTAAAGACCCAGTTAATGTTTTAGGTAAAGCAGGTGTATATAAAATAAGCTGTAATAATTGTAACAAAGTATATGTAGGACAAACCAAGAGAACTTTAGCAACTAGATTTAAAGAACATATAGCGGAGGTTAATAAGGCCAAAAAGCAAGAGGAAAAAGGCCTAACATATGATTTGAAATCAAAGGTTGCAGAACACATCTTCACAGAGGACCACCAACTATCGACGGAGGACATCACGATTTTACGAACCGTATCTACACCATGGAAATTGGATGTTGCAGAAAGCCTCGAGGTCAACAAACAACGTAATTCAACTTTACTCAACAGGGATCACGGAAACGGACACACATGGCTTTTCAAGTTACTACCTAGCACACATCAACGAGTAAGCAGCGGAGTACCTGTTCCTATATAAAATTAAATTTAAGTTTACCTAGTTCCTAAGTGAAAATGTACCTGTGTTAATATATATTCGGAAATGCGATGTTTTTCTTCAGTCGAGTATTAGTACATGACACTGAAGAAGTCTGCACATTGTAGACGAAATACGCGTATCTGTCAAGGATAAGCAAATAAAGTAGTGGAATTAAATGGAAAATACTAATCCTTCTCTCTCTCATTATACAGGTATTCCACTAAGACGCCCTCATTAATCAGGATTCACTGAAATTATATTATGGCACACTTTGTACATCACTATTTCACACTAGGGTGGTTCATTTTGATAAAAAAAGGTGAAATTTCTTATAGCCCACCCTCCCATTCGATTCATTACCCCAAAATATGAGCCTGTGTAAAAAATGGTAAAAACTTGATGATGATTTAGAGGTCACGCAAATGTTTTAAAATTTGTAATCAGTTTTTTTCAAAATGAAGCACCATATTGCACACCTATTAACCCTTTGTCTGTACTTTGGGGTAAATTTGACCACTGAAAGGCTGTAGGTTTTTTATTTATCGATGCATTTTACTATTTTTTTTTCGTGACTATGTGTACCCACCTCTGTAGTATCAGATCAAATTTGCTCCAAAAAAGTTTATTTATTGGAATAATTTTATTGAAATACTTGCGTTGTCAATTTGACCCCATATTCAAATTGCCGTATCTTAACGAAATTTCAATAGATTTCTAAAATTCAAAATGATCGATGCAAAGTAAATTTAGTGAAATTTTTGTTTAAATTATTAGACTTGTTTTGGAGGGGTGGATCTCTCGGAGGTGAGAAGGGGGTAATTGTAAAAATATATCCATATGGTGTATCGTAATGTTAGAGATGTTTATACAATGAGATCCCAACCATATAGGATGTTGTTTTCTTCTGTAAAGACACTCACTTTTCTTCTGCAAAGACACAAGTACAAGGTCTTCAAAACTATGTGTATGACAGATCCTACTCACTAGATGGGACTAAAACAAAAATGATCAAGTTGCGGCATCTTAATACACATTACATAACGCTATCAACAGATCCCGCTCAAATGGATGGTTTCCGGCTTCAGAAAAGTTGATCGATGGACAAGACCTATCTTAAGGAACAGAGTTTAGTTCAGAAGCCACTCACCAGGCAACGCTAGTGTGACATTCATTTTGAATTGATTGCCCTAACTTAACATTTTGACTAGATAAAAAGGTTCCCATCTTGGGCAAAATTGTTCAAATGGGCAAGATCTATTTTGTGGTAAAGAGTTTAGTTCAGAACTCACTCACCAGGCGTGCTTCTCATTGTTTTCCCTAACTTAACATATGGACTACATAGAAGGTATCTGTGTTCGGCAAAGTTGTTCAGATGGACAAGACCTATCCTAAGGTAAAGCGTTCAGCTCAAATTTCACTTGTTCTAAAGTCTCATCATTCGAGATTCTATGTGCCTTGCTAGTACTGAACCAGGGAGTCAATTTAAAAATCATCTCCAGAACTTTGTTCTGAATTTTTTGAAGTACTTTTTTTCCTGGTAGTGCATCAACTAGACCATATTGGCACAGCATAATTCATCGATCTAAAACCTTGATTTAATATTATTAAATTCCTTTATATATAGGAATTTCATATCTCGGTTGACCGGAAGAATGTAAAATCAAAAAGAAATTCCTCAAAAAGTTCCAATCTGCAGCTGTGGATTGAAAAGCGAAACTTTCGTAACTTCTGGGATCATTAACCAGAAAATTTACCAGGAGGAGTGCCTACGGATGAGACTACCGCCTTTTTTGGAGCAGCATGAGGTGGATTGCCTTTACTGGCGGAACTTGGCAAGCTGCCACTACTCAAATTCCACCAAACAGTGGTACAGCGAAAATGGCGTCACAATGGTTCCAAGGAGATGAATCCGGCCAATACTCCGGAACTATGGCAAATTGAGGAATACTGGTAAATTTTGAAGCACATACTGAAGAAAAAGGATGGAATTGCTTTTGTACTGAAGGATTTCGAGCGGAAATGGAATTTGGCAGCCAAACAAGTGGGAACAGGGCTCGTGCAAAAGATGATAGGCCGTGAACGAGGAAAATTTCCAGCAATAGCCTATGGTAAGAAAGAAGACTGAAACAATGGTCTTACAGTAAGCATAATATCTACTAATGTATAACTGTTACATTGAACTAAGAAAAATAAAACGCATTTTCAACAATTTTTATGTTCAACCTTGGTTGAGATTCGCACTGACAAATAGTTCGGTTTTACGCTGGTTATCACCCAACAACAATCAAATTCGCTTTTAGTGTTCTAGATGCACTTCAACAGTTATTAATTGAGAGCTTTCGATATATGTATCATTTTTGCATTAGTATAATTGTGTGACAAGTACAATCATACTCTATGCCCAGGGAAGTCGAGAAATTTTTCAACCCGGAAAATCCCTTGACCGGACCGGGAATCGAACCCAGCCACCTCCAGCATGGTCTTGCTTTGTAGCTGTGCCTTTACCGGCTGAGTTAAGGGAGGCTCTGGATCTAATGTGGGTGGCCCTTAAAATTATGCTCTCATCAGTTTTGCTGTGCTAACAATTGATCCATACAAAAGGAGATCAACTGGCGTAATAAAAAAAAAACTACATCATAACAACAAATTTGGATTTTAGTTTGATATCCAGGGTATAAGTTAGGTGTGCTAATAATTGGGACGAAAAGCCAGAAACGGTAAATCTACACTGACTGAAATAAGTTTAATCTATGGTTTTTCTCGGTTTTTTACAACGGAAACAAATTTATAAAAATAAGCAATTTATTCAATTCCAAGAACAATCGCAAGGTGCCTGAGAGGTAGTAGTAGAACAATCACATGGTGGAGGTGCTTCAGTAGTAGTAGAACAATCACATGGTGGAGGTGCTTCGGTAGTAGTAGAACAATCACATGGTGGCGGTGCTTCAGTAGTAGTAGAACAATCACATGGTGGAGGTGCTGTAGTAGTAGTAGAACAATCACATGGCGGAGGTGCTTCAGTAGTAGTAGAACAATCACATGGTGGAGGTGCTGTAGTAGTAGTAGAACAATCACATGGCGGAGGTGCTTCAGTAGTAGTAGAACAATCACATGGTGGAGGTGCTTCAGTAGTAGTAGAACAATCACATGGTGGAGGTGCTTCAGTAGTAGTAGAACAATCACATGGTGGAGGTGCTGTAGTAGTAGTTCCACAATCACACGGTGGAGGTGCTTCAGTAGTAGTAGAACATTCACACGATGTAGGAGCTTCTGTAGTAGTACGTTTCGGTTTACATTTGCATTTCTTACGTCGACAGTGCCTCTTCTTCGGTGTAGTACATGGTGTTTCTGTACTTGTCGGATCTGCTACGGGACAATAACATGGTAGTACACATGATCCATCAACCAAGTTGCGAACATATCCCGGCCTACAGAAGCATCCTGTGACGCACTCCGCTGAACATGGAGTTTCGTCATCTAGGTCATCGCATGATCTTTCACATACTGGTTCACCTGATACAAACACCTCATTTGGATCCTCGCACGCTGTAATGGCAAACAACTTGGTCAATTTTCAGATTGTAGTGGCGCATTATGTTAAATCAGCTTACGTGTTCTTCGGTACACCCTTGCGTTGTTAACGCCCAGCGTTAGGAGAATGCTTAGAACTACCAACCTCATTTTTAAACTTGTTACCAGAAATTGTTAGCAAGATGCTTTATAGCTCTTGTCAAAAGGAAATAATTCCAGCCTATACGTGCATTTGCGCCTTTTTCGTTTTTTTTGGTGTTCTAAAGTACAACCACAGACAAACAGACATAACACATTGAATATTTCTCACTGTAAAACATCCTAACTAAAACATTACCGCTATCTGTTGAGTACACTGTGGCGGGCACTACACTGAACAGATGGCGGTAGTGTGTAAACGTCAAACGCAAGCGAATTGACTATGCGCGCCACAGATGGCGGTACTACTAACTACGATACGTTTTAATTGTCCGTAAAATGCTTGTTCGACGAACAACTTGCGAGTGTTATGTCTGTTTGTCTGTGGTACAACGTATTGCAAATGTTCTATATGATGAAGATAAACGCTACTGGTACGTGCGTCATCTATTTGTTTCCGGTTTTTCAGTTTCCTGGAATATCTGTCTTCAGCATTCAATTTGAGAAACCAGTTAGTTTGTTCATAAACAGTTGGGGAATTACACGCCAACTCGACTGTGGAATTTGCAGCACCTTCTTAGATTTCAATTAAACATTACGGGTGGCGTAAAGATTTTGCCTACTTCAGTAACTTTTGTACTAATTGAATAAGGCGGAACTTTTTTCATCTCTTTTCTACAAATGACAAATTAATGTTGCTCAAGCATGATCTGTAAAAAAATATGTGAGAAATTGTTAATTTTATTCCTACACTGAAAACAGAAACGTTTAAAAAATTAAGAATAATTTTCCTAACAAACATGATTGTTGGAAATAATTTAAAAAAAATCTTATTTTTATGATAAATAAAAGAACATAAAATCTACTAATCAAACAATTTTATTGAATAGAAGTCACAACAACTGCCTTAACCGGACTCGGGACCCGCTTCAGCTACTCATCGATGTACTTTATCTGCCAGAATAGACCCGGGAGTGGCCAGTGGTTGACATCTCCTACATCCTGAAGCCGACAAAGTTGTATATTGTGATGGTACAGCTGCTAGCTGCAAATCAATAATACCTGAATGTAGATAATCATAACGTGCAAAACATACTTACTTGTCAGCATAAAGTTGCCATAGGTTTTGTTAACGTCCACCAAACTGACATTATTTTACGGTTTGGTCCGCCATATTGGTTTCTGTTAGGAAACGTTTCATACGATCCTCTAATGGTTTTGTACTCATTAAATATTGTTTGCAAACATCATACGATGACCGTTTGTACTTCACCCGATTTTCGTACATCTTTGACTGTGTGGAACCCTCAGGGAACGTCTCCGATTCTCGTGTTCCGGAATAATCCGGAAATTGATGGACACCTTGTTCTCCGTTCTCTTCGTGTTTATTTATCCTCTCTCGATCCCGATTCAGAACTTACCATAGTCGATGTAGTGTAGGTTTGTAGGCTCCTTTTGTAAGGTAGTGTATTTCTGCAACCGTTGTCTTGGCACACGGCACCACATCTCGTTTTCTCTAGGAGATGCGAAATCTAATCAACGATGACAAAGTCCTTAAACTTTGATGGGAGTTTTACTTCTCGACGCGTTCTAGAATTTACAGAAGTCATCAGTGATTTTTCCGGAGATTTGGCAACGATCAGGGTAGGTCCTTGAACAGCAAGTTCTGGGTGACCAGATCTACTATCTGACTACAAAGTAAGCATTTTCGAGAGAAACTGGGACTACCCATTAAATGAGTAAAATTTTACCCATTTATGAATAATTACAACTACAAAAATGAGTAGTAAGTATTCATTTATGAGTATCAAATACTCATAAATGGGTAATCTTTTTACTAATTTAATGGGTAGTCCCAGTCTCCCTGGAAAATGCTTACTTCGTAGTCAATATCGAGTCTTTTATAGTCATTATTGGGTATTTTGCGGTTACCGTGTACTTGTTTTGAAATTCGATCTCTATCCGTTACTTCGTTGGTCGGAGCAGCTGATTCGATATGGTACAGTGATGGGATCTTTGAACGGATTGTTCTACCAAAACATAAATCCGTTGGGGTCTTTCCGGTTACGGAATGAGGTGAGGTATAATACATCATCATGTAATCCATTAAATCAGTCTGCCAGTTTCGGCCTAGCGCGTGACTAATTTGAAGCCGTTTTAGTAACGAACGGTTCTGGTGTTCTACCAGGCCGTTCTCTTGCGGCCAGTATGGCGTAGAATGGTTTAGTGAGATTCCATGCTCCTGACAGTAATTTTCAAATTTCGCGCTTACAAACTGACGAGCATTGTCAAATGTGATAGTAAAGGGTGTCCACGATGAAATTGCCAAACTATGAAATTGCTCTAACTTTTTAACCGTTGGGTAGAATTTAATGAAAATTTGGGTGGATTTAGTTCATAGTGCATTATTTACATCCTGCAAGTTTTAAAGTCCTGTGATCAAAACTCGCGGAAATGGAGTCGAAAGAACAGCTCGTGCGTGATAAAATCTTGCGCATTCATCACGAGAACAAGGATCTCTCGCATCGTTCCATCGCTAAAACGTTGGGAATCACGAATTCCACGGTGTCGCGAGTGATTAAGCGGTTCGAGGAACGGTTGACCACCGATCGGAAGCCCAGAAGTGAAGGAAAAAGTATTCCGTACAACACCAAAAATCACAACCGCGTAGTTGGGGCCTTCAACCGAAATCCGAACGCCTCCGTTAGGGATGTGGCTAAGAAGCTGCACCTAAGCCGAAGTTTTGTCCAGAAGGCCAAAACTAAGGCTGGGCTTCGAACGTTCAAGGTACAAAAGGCCCCTAATCGCGACGAGAAGCAGAACAAGTCCGCCAAAACCCGTGCCAGGAAGTTGTACCTCAACATGCTGACGAAAGTTGAATGCTGCATCATTAACGACGAAACATATGTGAAGGCCGACTTCAAACAGATCCCCGGCAACCTGTTTTTCACGGCCAAGGATAAGTTTAGCGTTCCGGAGCAGGTCCGCACTCAGAAGATGTCCAAATTTGCGAAGAAATTCCTGGTTTGGCAAGCCATCTGCACGTGCGGGAAGCGGAGTGCACCTTTCGTGACCCAGGACACGATGAACGGACAGGTGTACATAAAAGAGTGCCTCCAGAAGCGGCTGCTTCCTCTCCTGAAGGCCCACAACATCCCAACAATCTTCTGGCCGGATTTGGCCTCATGCCACTACTCCAAGGACGTGCTGAAGTGGTATGCGGACAATAAGGTCAATTTCGTGCCGAAAATGTTCAACCCTCCCAACACTCCGGAGCTCCGCCCCATCGAGAAGTACTGGGCGATTATGAAGCAGCACCTTCTTAAACGACCTAAGGTAGTGGAGACAGTCGAGGAACTGAAGAAAGTATGGGTTTACATGCAAAAAACGGTTGATTCACAGGTTGTGCAGAATCTTATGGCCGGGGTTAAGGCCAAGGTGCGGGCATTTGCGTATGGACTGTAAATAAAATACGAGTAAAATGGTAAAATGAAGTTTAATAGTTATTTCTCAATCCCTGAAAATGTGATGGCAATCGGATGAAAACTCGAATTTTCCGAATCAATTTTGTGTGTGGCAATTTCATCGTGGACACCCTTTAATAGGAAATCCCATCCTCGTCGCCAATTGTGGAACCCTCAGGGAACGTCTCCGATTCTCGTGTTCCGGAATAATCCGGGAATTGATGGCCACCTTGTACTCCGTTCTCTTTGTGTTTATTTATCCTTTCTCGATCCCGATTCAGAACTTACCATAGTCAATGTAGTGTAGTTCTACGCAGAAATACACTGCCTCTCTTGGCTCCTTTTGTAAGGTAGTGTATTTCTGCAACCGTTGTCTTGGCACACGGCACCACAGATTGTATTAAACAATAATGTATATATGTATGATATGAATTCATACGAAGCGTATGAAAGTCGTTTGGAATCAGATTTTCATACGTTCATACGATGGTGACTGTGAGAAGCGTATTTATATTTTCCTCAGTGTAGTCGTTCATACTTCCGAAGATGGGCACTAGACTTATGCAAAATTTGAAATTTTCGCTCCACAGTGCTCAAACTGTTCCAAATTGGATCCTGATTATCCTCTCATAATTTGAACTCCTTTAGTAAGAACCTGAATTGGCACAAACCATTTGAAGTTTATATGGAAATTACTATGGGGAAACCATAATTTCGGTTCATATCAATCTAAAAATTCACCAGTTCACTCTAATTTAAAGAATGATTGCTGAGCTTGTTGAAAATTTTCTCAGCTACAACTTTGTTGAAGACCACTTTTTGATCAAATGTAAGGAACAAAAATTATGAATGATTCAAGTCACTGATGTCTTATGAGATTATGCTCAATCACAGCAGGCAACATTGGTGTTTATGGTGCGTAGAAGAGAGGACAAAAATCATGGCTACTATGTCACACTGCAGAATACAGTGTTGCCCACAATACAGTTGCTTAATCTTGCCATAAGATTATCAATCTCTTAAACAATTAATAACTATTTAATTTGACGTTTGGCTGAAAAACGGTCGCAAAGTTGTAGCTGATAAAAAATCCCATAAGTGCAGCAATAGAACTTGTTAACAGTTCAATATGGAAAAAAAGTAGAAGACAATGAACAAAAAGTTTGGTTTTTCCATAGTAATTTCCATATAAACTTCAAATGGTTTGTGCCAAGTCAGTTTCTTACCAAATGAGTTTAAACTTCCGGAGGCTATTTAGGACCCAATTTGAAACAATTTGAACACTGTGGAGCGAAAAAATTGCATTTGCATCAGTCTAATGGGCACTTTTACCGGAAAAAAAGTTATTCTTACAAACCCTTTTTCGTGTTTTCATTGAATGATATTATTATTATAATTATTATTATTTAAGCCGTTACTGACAATTATTGTTTTATAATTTTGACATATTTTTGATTCTCTGGTCCTGAAATTCTTCTCATAATTGTCTTCGAAATCTCCTATAATTTCTTTAGAACTTCTGGTCCAAATTATCTTAGAATATATGACAAACAAAATCTATGAAATTTAGGATTTTCTTGGTACATTTTTCCAAGTTCTATTGGAACTCTTCTCGGAATTCCCTTGAAACTCTTCTTTCATGATTGCGTGGGACTTTCGTGGGGACTATCTTTAGCATTTTCTAAGAATACTCCTTTGAATTGTCTCCTGAAATTCCATGAAACTCTTATACAAATTTAATTCCTCTCTAGAATTTCTGCAGAGCTAACCTCAGTGCTCTATTCTTTAAGGTTTCTCCATAGTTTTCCTTTAATGAAGCTTCAGAATTGGTTATATACTCGCTCAAGAATTCCTTATAAACTCTCTTCAGAAGACCATCAACTGAAATTCTTATCCCAATCCAAATTTTCTTCACTATATTGAAATGTCCAAAATTTCAGTATCTATCCAAGCCTTAGTATCTTAAACATTTTCTAAAATCCCAAAATTATAAAAAAAAATTAAGTACAGTTCAATTGCTTTCAGTTGGTGGCATTGGGAAAATTAAAAAAAAGGGGCGGCCCTATGGGGTTGTACACAATGGTGACGTAGAACTACGTGGTCTTTTATAATAACCCAAGTAACATTTTGTGTTTTATGAAATACTACAAAGCTACTATCAAACAACATTCATAAAACCCTGGTCAAGACTGCTTTGCCATTGATGCATCAACCAAAACCTCATTGATGCTAGAACCTGTCTAGTTGGTCCACTCTGGAGAAGGTTCTGAAGGGTATATTTTCGAAGCTCTTCAAGATTGATTTACTGCAAAATGGTTGTACGAAAAACGCATTGAGATTCATTTCAAAGCCGTATTTAAGCTACAATAAAAGCTATTTGGCAACCATTAAAACCATTATCACTAGAAAAACAACAATCAAGATAAAAAGGATTCATGAGTACCATCCGACCTTATCAAAATAATTAAAATAAAAACTGTTGGTATAAAAATCCTGCCGAATTTCCAAAATTAAAAAATTGTTCTCATGAAGTGGCCTAGTTTTAGGTGCCATATAAAAATGAAAGTGAAATTTAGGTGAAAACATCGCAAAACTTGAGTCCGCCCACGGAAAACATCGATTTTACTAATTATTTAACATTAGGAAAAAAATATATTCTTCAAAACGATCATTAAGCTTAGCCGAAATTTTTATTTCTCATGATTTTTGAATTCTAAATATTTTCTCATTGCTAAATTAACTAAAATAAAGCTATATCGAAGGAAATTGAAGGAGATTGAAAATCGAAGATTGTAAAAAACAAACAAAATAATTGTAATATGGAGGAGGCATAAAAGTTGATTTTCATGGGCCATTTGTGAAAAAGTTATTTTGCTTTCAAGAAATCCTTACAAATTCATAAGGTTTTTAAATGGCTTTTATGAAGAAAACTTGTAGACTGATCAAGCCATTTTGCTTGATCCTAACCAGTTCAGATTTATGGCAGCATTTATGGCGGCAATGTTGCCTACAAAATGTTAAACGTCAAAGTTTGTTTATCTTTCGATAATTGCGCTGTGCGATTTCGCATTTCGCACAGCTGTAACCTCGATCATTCCCGAAAAGATCCCCTTCTTCCGGATGGTTCTGAAAGTGCACCATCAAACGATGCAGGTATATACGGTTGAATGATTTTTTTTTCCAAGTGATGGCCCTTTGACCGAATAAAATTGCAGCTATGGATCGGAAACCAACTATGTCGGTACTGACGCCAGTTATTCCGATATTCATCTATTCGCAAGGTCTGGAGAAGGCTGGTCTGTTTTCAGACTGTTTTCACAATGTTTTATGAATTTGAGGACCAGCTCACTTCCCTCTTCTCCATCAGATGCTCAGTCGTTGATGGTACCCGTTCCGCTGGACGTGCTGGTTCTTCTAAAGAACTAAATTTTACTGAAATCGACTTTCTTTCGGTCGTTAGCATCGCTTGAATTTTTCCTCCAACTTCGTTTATCCTTCGAGATATCCTTGTCATAAATTTGGTTTTTATTCACTATAACTACTTTAAATTTAATGTTAAAACAAGATAGTTTTTGACCTCTCGCCAGACTGTAAAAGGTTTTTAAAACAGCGAAAAGGTGAACTACTAAGCATGAACGTTTTACACTGTGAAATGCGGTATTGAAACTAAATGGATTATTCATTGCCATTATAAAACCATCATAAATGCCAAATGATTGCAGAATTGTTACTTGGGAAATGTTATTCGGGCACCACACTGAAAATGGAGTCGACAATTTTTTCAAAATGATGTATCTCAGTCGCTATTGATCCGTTTTCAAATGTTTTAATACCGTTAGATAGGTCACATCCTAATCTTTTCATTAGCTTGTTAGTCACGCTCCCTGATTGTGTCATAGCTTCATAAAATCAGGATTACCAAATTATAACAAAATTTTCGGAAGGTAGGGCAATTAAAAATGTGTGCATGGTGCATTCTATTAGATACTTTTATAGGCTTTCAGGAAAAATATAAAAGGACAAACCGATCAACTTCAACTTGCTGAAACGACATGTCTACTGACTCGACAAAAACTGAAAAACCAAAAGATTGATTAACTATCAAACTCGTCATTGTGTGCTATGCTCAATCAAACCATCATAAAGGAAAATTAATACCCTTTCCAACAAGATAACAACATCAAAAATACATGAAAATTTACCGAAGATATTACAAAAATAGTGAAAAGTGTGATTTAGGTGTGGTAGTCGAAGAGTTAACTGCAACCGGAGCTTGTGTTTTGTGTAGGAATCTGAATTTGAGCGGGGTTTTATACTCTTTAGTATGACTTAGATTGCCCTGAAAAGAGCCTTTTGATATGAATTTTAGTTGGGACATGTTCAAAAATTTAACTCTTTTTAAAAATCTTGGTGGCTCTGAAAAGGGCCGATGGTAGTACAGGCTTAAAGTCTTTGCAAGATGATGATGACGGCAGCTGGATCTGCAAATCGGACCGGACAATCCCGTATTCTTCGGTTCAATGATTGGGCACTCGCAAGAGTCTCGACATGTCTGGTGTCTGCGACAGGTTGGAATGCCGCAGATTATCAGTGTCCACCTAGCTAAAGCTCCTCCCCTTTTTAGTTTTTCTCGTTAAACTCCTTCTCTCTACAAGTTGTTGGTAAATCTTAGCCTTTAGCAGAAAGACGCTTAACATTTTTTTCGATCCTGTTTCACGTCATGGTTCTTCTCTATGCCTGTTCAGATAAATTAGTACTCAACTGCGCTTAATAAAACGAGTAGAAATAAGAAGGGATGTCGGTTATTCGCTCGAATAATTGGAAATTCTACAAATATTTAATCGAATAGTCGGAAAAATCTTTACGATTAATCGTAAATCGAATAATTAGATTTTTAAGCATCCCTAGAAAATAGTGTAATTTCATGTTTTTTGGTGGTCCTTCGAAAATATCGAACAGCAGAATTGCAACCAGCAATTGTTACTCAAGGACCCAAAAAACAGTGCGATGCTAGTTTTCATTGCTATGACGACGTCTGAATTAAGGGGCTTAGAAGCAGAGGGATGAAGGTCAATTCTCTTCATCGATTTCCTCTTTTGATAACCATGGCTTCAGTAACCTATTTCACACTATTTCTGCAACACTCTTCTACAACCCGAACAACAAACGTATCAATGAATGTGTTTGCCGTCGAGTTATTAACGAAACAGAACGTCGTTACAGAACCAATCCGGAAGATTGCGACTCTGGAGAGCATTTTGTGGGGTCGTGGGGGGCGTGTGGTTCTGAATATGGCGATGATTGTGCAAAATGTTACGCAATTGCATCCTTCCTATTCACACACGCCCGAAGATTGGAGGCGAATGCCACTTCGACTTGTTTCGTCTACTAACAACTCTCTGATGACAGTGTTGCGGAAATTGGTCCATGGGGCAGATGAGTTATTAACGTTCAAAATCTTTCATAATTTTGTTACAAGTTTTATTTTCGGTTTTCACAAACTGTACCCCATGTAGAAATCACAGGCGTAGTTTTACATCAAAACACAACCTTGGGTGGTATTCCAACACATTTAGAAAAAATCACCGCTGTGATCAATGTGTTAGTGTTGCAAATTCTCCACCAATGAACAAAAACTAGTTTTTGTCGGAAGGATTCGTCACTACACTGGAAACAGGGATGCATTGGATGAAGATTCCAACTGCTGTTTTCAGATCATCACCAACAGGAATGGAACTTGGACCGATAGAAAAAAAAAACAAGCAACAACATCGGTCATCTGTAATCGGTATTCATTTAGACAACGAAAATTAATTACTTACGGAAAATATCTACGATTCGCTCATCTTGGTGTTGCATAACAACGTCCATAATTTTACCTTTTTTTATTTATCACAAACACGAACGTTTGAAAAGTCGATCGAAAATCACGTTTGACGTTTACCGAGACCGTTACTGATACTTCACCGAAGTCAGTGATTTGCAGACCTGTCGGTAAGAATGTTTGCCATTTTCGTTAAATTAAAATGAAATTATCGAAATTCGGTCATTTCATTTACAGTTTTCAGCAATAAAGTGAGAAAATACCGAAACATCTTTAATTTTTAGAATCACCGAACTCAGGGTCTCTGTTTAAGTGTGAAGCAGACGTAGTTTGAAAATTTTACTGGGTGTTGAAACTCTGGAAATGTTATTCAATCAAAAGGCGTCAAGGTAACTTGTTATTTTGTTTTCCTGTTGGATAAATTTCCACTGCGACCAATAATATGACCTATTATGGCAAGGCTTTTTTTCCTTGTTGGGTGTATTCATCACTGCGACCATTACTTTGATCTATTGTGATATTCCCCGTTTTTATATTGCTTTATCAGTTATGTCGTATCACTATTTTGTGAAGCGACCGACATAGACTGACCAAAAGCATTTTCCCAGCCAGGTATTACATTTCGAATGAAATGTACTACTTTACTGGGACCTGCATTCCAAATATCAAAGGGTTCTGCCAGCCCCTTATCCAGAAAAATACGCCTTTTATTGAAGATTGCTGCACAAGAGCATAGCAGGTGTTCAGAGTCTTCCTTTTCTATACCACAGAATCGACACATATCCTCTTGAAGTTTTCCTATTAGCTTCAAATGATATTTACATGGACAATGTCCTGTTATCAAACCAGTATAGACACTGAGATCTTTCTTTGATAATTCAAGAATTTTGCTAGTCATTGAAATGTTCGGAATTATGAACCGTTTCGACTGCCTAGCAATGGAAGTGTTGTTCCAATTGGTCTCCACTTTCATTTTTTTCCATTTCTTGAACTCCATTTTAAGAGAACAAGTAGAAACTCCACAGAATGGTTCTGGTCCTATGAATTGCTGTGATGATCCTAGCCTGGCTAACGTATCGGCTATTTCATTCCCTTCAATTCCACAGTGGCCAGGAACCCAATATAAGTTTACTTGGTTTTGACAGGCCAATTTCTGAAGTGACATTGCACATTCCCATACGAGTTTGGAATTGCATGTTGCTGATTTTTAAAGCATTTAATGCAGACATAATGCAGATATTCGAATGTTTATAATTCCTGCGCAAGCATATTACAGAGCATTCAAGAATTGCTTGAATTTCTGCTTGGAACACGGTTGGCCAGTAACCCATGGATATTGAGATATCAATCCCTGGACCAGTTACCCCTGCTCCCACACGGTTGTTCAATCTTGAACCGTCTGTATAAAAAAAACAGTTGAACCTGGACGGATGTTTGGTCCCCCACTTTCCCAAACATTACGATCAAATTCTGATGCATTGTATAAACGATCGAAATTATGTTTTTTCTCCATCCAGTCTTCATTTTTTAATACAAGAGAATCAATATCAAACATTTTTAAAATGCTAAAGTGTCCAGTAAGATCACCTCCAAGGAAGTACTTTGTTCGTTGAATCCTTAAAGCGCTCCTTTCAGCTTCTAATTGGATAAATTGATGCAACGGAATCAGATAAAGTAGAGCATCTAGTGAAATACTCCTCTCCCCAGCTTCTTCTGAGCCATTTTTCATTAGTTTTCGGCCACCAAACTAATGATGCGTAGAATATTGTGGGTCTTAAAATCGTCAAATAAATCCAGTGGATCATTTTTGGTTTTATGCCCCATTTCCTACCAAATGTTTTTTTTTTACTTATCCAAAGAGCATTTATTGCCTTATTAACAACCTGCTCTATATGTGAGTTCCATTTAAGTTTACTGTCAAGAATGACTCCCAGATACTTGACTGTTCGTGAAAGTTCTAAAGAGGTTTCTTTCAATTTTAAGTTATTTATAGAAAATTTCTTTTTCCGTGTGAACGGTACAATAGTGGTCTTAGAAGGGTTTATATTCAACCCTTCTTTAGCGCACCACGACGAAACATAATTTAAAGCAGTTTGCATTCTATTTGAAATGATATTATCAAATTTTCCTCGTACTATTATGACTATGTCATCAGCAAAGCCAATTATCTCGAAGCCCTTTGCTTCTAAGTTTTTGAGAAGTTCATCAACAATTAAAGACCATAAAAGATGTGAAAGCACACCTCCTTGAGGACACCCTTTTACAGCTCTAACTGTTATGGATGAGCTTCCAAGATTTGCTGAGATTTCTCTTTTAGAAAGCATCTCATTAATCCACTTAACGATGCTTTTGTCGAATCCACGCTTACTATGATCGTGATCCTGGTCCAGGCTGGTCCTGAAATCGCAAAATATATTACTTGCTTTCGAAAAATACGTTCTCTCAGATATTGTAACCGTTCTGTTACAAAGGTCCAATACAATATTATAAATATGCACCATGTGATCGAGCATTCAAGTACCGTGCCGATTCAAATTTCGGACACTTAAACTCGAATTTCGGACACTTTTAAAAGTTGATTATCTCGGTCGAATATGATCCACATGTCTTGTAAATTTTAAATTATTTTGACTAGTGCCCTCCACGATCATCTAACATTATTACTTTGTTTCTAACTGTATGTAATATTTAATTAAAAATGAAAGTGTCCGAAATTTTAATCGTCTGAAATTTGAATCGGAACGGTAAATTTGTATAACACTTGCGGTGAAACCCTCTGGGTAGACGATACTGCCATGCTTAACGACCGACTGCTGAGTAAGGCGTGCATGGCCACGGCAAAATGGTGACACGGAGTCACGGGTGATGAGCTGAAGGGTTCTGCGATGGTTAAAGAACGACCATCGTTCACTTTATCTCAGGCGAGCGTGCAGACCAGAAGTGTCTGTAGAGTATATTTTATCAGAATACTAAGTACGAGTAGTGAATCAAGGTGAAGTGTAAATCACCAATTCAAGAGCAAATTTGCATTATGTCGTAAGTAACATCCGCACCAATCCGAGAAAAATAAAGTTTTGTTTTGATGACCGAAAAGTTATTCCTATTTTCAAGTAAACACATATAATCTCATAGTGATAGCAATGTTTAACATATTTAGCAGGGTTTTAATCATACAAATGCGAATCGCTAGCTTTCATGCTAAAAAATACTGGTTTTTGAGTCAAAAGTTATTATACGTCGTTTGGTGGCCCCTATTGTTACTTAAGTCAAAGTGTATTTACCAGGATATTCGGGAGAATTATCAATTACGTCTCCTTACGTGCAGCCCATTCATCATTTTAGGACCACCGAAATCATCTTAGCAACAAACAGATCGATTTATTCACTTTAATAATGAGAAAGCGAAACGACGAACGTATACTTTTCACGGGTTTCTCAGCGCTGTTACTTAAGTCAAACGGCATCTCCATAGAAATTGGGTGACTTAAGTAACATCGAAAACTATTTTGATCGGAAGGTGATTACGTCAAAAAGCAATTTGACTGGTAAATAAATTTAAAAATGGGATTTGATCCTATATTCGGACAGTATATAGTGTAATAGCAGTAGAATCGATTGACACTGATAGCTCGACTTTGTTTACCTTTGTTACATTCGACGTAATGAAAATTTGCTCTTGAATTCAGCTGATTCAGGTAAAGACTAATTCTTCCTCGAAATTGGTCGAAGAACCGCCCTAGTGGATGTTACCTCCTCGCTAGTACCTTTTTCAATCAATCAAATTGCTTTCTGGTTGGCGAGTCAAGGACCACCATTGCACGCTACGGTCTAGGTGACATTTAGTTACCTTGACCTAAACGCAAAGGACATCGTTCTCGGGCTGAAGGCCCTAAACGCCAAGGAGAATTTCCCTTCCCGGTTCGACAGAGGGCGGCATCGCCGTCGTCGACCGGCTTCGTCGGAAGGAAGCGCCTGTGCATCGGAACCATCTCCACAAACCGCTATACCAGCCCCGATAAAATCAACCCGCCATCGCACTACAGCCGATGTTCGGTCAGCATTGCTTCATTCGCCATTGCCGGAATTGTTCCAGGAATCTCACCGAACGGTGGTACCGCCATCTTGCCGACAAGATCGGCCGTTAATCGTCCGACATCGACAGAATCATTCCGGAACCACAGCGAGCGCTCGCTGGACTGCAGTCGTCGTAGTTGCCATCGTCGTCAAGGGTATGTGCCAGAATATCGTTCACATCACCACAAAACCCACACTATCGTTAGTTGGAAAAAATACAGTGTTTTTGAAAGCTTTAGTGTCTTTTCTTAAGCGAACCCCACACGTATCAATATATTGACGCGAAGGGGAATTATTGACATTAATATTGATGATGTGAATACAGAAATATTGTCAATACCGATGTATTGACGTCAATATTTAATGTATTGACAATACAATTATTGTCAATAAAAGCTATCGTGTAGGGTTCACTTTAAGCGTAGCCCCTCCGACTCTGAGACCCAGTTCAAGGAGTCTCGTGCTGCTGAGTTGTTGTCGGACAGAACATTAGTTTCAATATTGCCAGAAGAGGACAAGGCTTCATGACAGTCTTGTGAATTGCCAGAATCGAATTAATTATATCCTCCTAGTATGGTAGAACAATCCATAATCTCCCCTGGGGTAAAATGTCCCCACGCGGTTTTTCGTTACATTCCCATAAACAATTCTGAGATTTTATGAACCAAGTACTGAACAAGCAATGCTGCTTATTAAATCCCCGAACTGACAATCGAAAGCTATGAAAAACAGCGTGGGGTTATTTACCTCAGGGGTGCGTTTGAGACCATCCTTCCCTGATGGAATTTCACTTGAGGCTCCAGCTAAACGCGTCGTTTGCTATTCTCAATTTCCCAAAATACCGATATGACGTTGATATTGTAACGATATCGGCTTGAAAGATATCGCATTTAGTATCGATAAATATGAACCGATATTATCGTTTTTATCGATAATCGATATCTGCTCAGCCCTAATTCAGGTTAGGTCTGGGCCAAAATGGCCAACTATGTGATGAGCTTTTTGAAAACAAATCTGAGTGTCTTTTGCTGTACACAAATGTCGCCTCCTTCGACCCGTAAATAATTCTGTATTATTTGCAACATTGGCTTTCGATGGGCAACTTGTTGGGACTGCCCAAATCCCCTGTCTTGCTGGAGGACCATCGTGTACAGCTCTGTTCTGAGTCCCACGCTGCCATAAGGACGATGCGTAGCCACCCCAAATATGGAGTACATACACACGGTTTGTATGGGCCACGCTCTCCGCAGAGAGGAGCCCCCTTTCCACTAGCTAATTTACAACAGCTGAATAGTTCCACGAGCTTCAAGTCACTAACGAACAAAAAGAAGATGATTCTATTTAGAACCACAACCTAAAAGGTAGCGCATTGAACCTGAGATGTTTTCCAATAAAGTTAATGGGTCTTTTGAAAATGGACCGATAATTGTCTGAACTGTACTCATCCATGCATTCCGAAGAAGCAAATAATTGCTCATACGAGGCTTTGTTCAATCGTTCCACTTGATAGTCATTCCTCTTACAAAAAAATTGCACATCCTGAATTATCTCACGTATCGTGATTGACACTGCAAATAGTCATTCACATTGAGAAACTCTCGGATTTTTCTACCCACAGCATTTCTATGTTGACCTCCGAGTAATTCACACATAATTTCGTACCGTTCCTCGTAATGAAATCGACAGTGCTTTTCCTAATCATAAGCTCAAGCGTTGCGTGGGTGGTTCGCTCCTGTGAACGTAAGCCAACGTATTGATTACCGTTGAATCTTGAATTAATTACAGCTCGCTTTCTATATTGCTTCCCCTCCAGCATGCAACGATCTCAACGAAGAGTACCTGGAGTGTGGCACGGCTTGTCCGAAAACATGCCAGAACCTGGATATCGATGATGCTTGCAGTGACGAGTGCGTCTCAGGATGCTTCTGCAAGGAAGGCTTCGTGCGTGGTAGCTCTACGGGACCGTGCATTCCACCAAGTGAGTGTTCCAGCTGTCCCAAAAAGCGAGTGCAGCGTTCTCCAAGGCCATTTCTGCCGTGGATTAGACCATTCCCAATGCCGATGCCAGGTCATCCCTTGATGTTCCCCTTGCTGCGCTTCCCACTACCCCTTAATCCGCTGTTTCGACCACCGCTAGCACCACCGCTAGCACCACCACCACCACCACCAATGAAATAAATGAGTAGATATATTAGGTTCATGTGAACCGTTGCGAGCCAAAGTGATACACGTGTCATTTCAATAGTTTTTGATTTTCTGTTGTATTAACGGCATCAGAATCCACCGATTTCTTCGAATAATAACAAACAAAAATGAAAATTAGTGATTTAAACACATGGTATGTACAATTTAATTTTCGGTATATATCACAATTACCATTTCGTTGCGAGGCAAAGGGTGCATGTGAAATTCTAATAATTCACAAATCGCTTGAAAAAACTACAATATGTTTTTTTTTACGGGTTTAATAGGTAGAGGCCTGATATTCAATTTTTAAATAAGTGGAACTCCCTTCATAAGATTTATATTGCCTTTTCTCAAAAATCTTCTTAGAATCATCCCAGAATTTCCATAGCCTTTTTTTTTCTCTTAAATGCCCTAGAATGAAGATTATCTAGCTACCACATTCAATGAGTACAATGAGCAATGAGAGTCAGACAATATTTTAATATTTTGAAACATCGACGGATTTGCGCGATCTTAGGCTAAGAATAATAATGAAAAGATCCAGGGTTACTTCTACTCACTTACCTATAGCAAAAAGTTTTTCAAAATTAAGGAATCATTGTATGCTATAAAGATATTTTGGTCTTATCAGGTACAAGAAGAGGTTGAAAAGTATGTATTTGACACACAATTTTGCTTTCAGTGTTTCACAATCAGCGAATTTATTACTTTTGAATCGCGAATTTATGAATCATAAAATCGCTGATTGTGACGCACTAAAGGAAATAATGACAGGTTTTATGTGTCAGACACATAGTTTACAACCTTTTCTTGTAAATTACAAATACAAATTATTATTAGCCTTCCGTGCTATAACCCCCCTCGTGTATGCTTTACTAACTACAGTTCCTCCATTGACTATGATCTCTCCACGAAACAGGCAACTCAAGGAGTTCTAGATCAACTTCGACCTATCTCAATTCCCCGTATTTTTGCTGAAAAGTACCAACAAGTCAATTGCAATGAATACTCAACCGCCTTCCGGAAACTTCAGGAACCTTGTTCCGTTTATGTTGCTGAGCTAGCAGCATTCAACTTCGCATTGCGGATGATTCCCGATATGCCCATAGCCCATTACTTCATCTTCTCGAATAGTCTCAGTTCGATTGAGGCTATTCGGTCGATGAAACAAGGTAGGCACTCATCTTATTTTCTTTCAAAGTTAAGGGGGCAGATGAGTGTGTTGGTCGAAAGATCATATATGATTACCTATGTATGGGTCCCCTCACATTGCTCAATCCCAGGAAATCAGAAGGCAGACTCTCTCGCAAAGGTGGGTGCACAACAAGGCGAGATTTATGATAGGAGAATTTCACATGATGATTTTTTCCTATTAGTACGTCAGAGTTCTGTTTTAAGTTGGCAAAACGATTGGATAAGTAATTCTTTTGGGCGGTGGTTACATTTCATTATTCCAAATGTTTCTTCGAGAGCGTGATTCAAAGGTCTGGATGTAAGTCGGGGCTTCATTCACGTGATGGCAAGACTTATGCCTAACCACTACTCGCTAGACGCATATCTCTACAGAATAAACCTCGTTGACAGCAATATATGTAGGTGTACAGCCGGTTATGATGACATCAATCACGCAGTTTGGTATTGCCCGGGTAATGCCTCCAGAGCACGACTGTTGGATACCCTAGTGGCCCGAGGTAGACAACCCTGCCGTGAAGTAAGAGATGGATTGGGAACCCGTGATCTTCCCTACAATCAGGCGATCTACGAATTCCTTTGTTTGTCTGATGTTAGAGTCTAATGTGATCATCCCCTCCTTTCCAAACAACTTCCATCCATTGTGTCCCAGTCTTATTATCCTCCTGTTTCTGTGCTACTTGCCCCTGCCTAGCCAGAATTTGGTCAACCGTCCGAGAGTAGTCTCTGAAGGAGGCTTCAGAATCCGGTTTCCCACCTAGCTCCTTCCAATCGAAATTTGTTACCCATTAGCCTCGAGCCAGCCACGAGTAATTGGTACCCAATACTAACCTAGAACTACGACTGTTTAAAATGTAAATTCAAACATTTGTAGCAGGTTTGAGCATAACCCAAGTAACAATTTTGGTTTTATGAGGATTCTGTACACCATGATTTAGACTTGTAGAATGCTATAAAACCGCGATAAAACCTGCAATTTTACTTGCGACATGGTTTACGAGCAGACTTTAATTGGAGAAGGGCTTTCTTTGAATATGCGGTATCCAAACTATGGTAGACTTATAAAAGTATCTACCAGTAAGGACCGCAGTAAAGAGAGTTTGACTGCTGATCGATACATTTTGGTTTTGTATTCTGAATTATTTGGTTTATATAGCATTTACATCTTCTTGCTTATCCTAGTTAATCTATGTGTAAGAATGAGACGACTGGAGTGTCGATACCCAAAATATGCATCTTCGCAAGGTCTCCCAAGCAACACAGAAAACATCTCAATTCTTTTATTTTTTTTATTTAAGTTGCCCTGAAATCCCTTAAATGGTACAGGAAATACATCTTGATACGACAAAGTTTCAACTTTGTTGCTTCATTTACTTTAGGTCACAATAATGAAACTCAACTGTTTCAATGTACTGCTCTGATGACCTGTCAAATCATGCCTCAATTGGGAGGAGCAAACATGTTACACTCAAATTGGTATGAAGTTATATGCTACGTGATATTGTATGAAACACTTGAGCCACAAATCTAACTTGTGTTGTGTTTGTTGAATGAGAGTTCCATAAAACATTATGTTTCTTAAAACTTTGGTGCAGTAGAGTGTGTGTTTTTTGTACCTATTGAGCAACTGTTTCGAAATGTTACTAAAAAGTTGGCGAACCAAGATGTGTTGAAAAACGTATTTGCAATCTTGTTCCAATTAAGCGTATGAATCTATAAGTTTTCAAACTTCGTTTTGCAACTAACTGAATCAAGTAGTCACTGTAAAGGTTTGTTGTAACCATTTAGTGTCTACCATGGCTCAAATATGTCTTGTCACTTTGATGTTGTAAAATATTTTTGGACAACATTAGCAAAAGCGGAGAAATCGTAATGCATGTACTAACATCTGCATAGGAAATGGAAGACCACGACGAGGATGATAGGATTACGGATGGCGGGGGACGATGGTGACTTAAGACGATGCCAACAGCGGCTGGCATGGCCGTAGTCTCTCAACCGACCGGGTGTTCCAAAGGGCTAAATAGAACAGTGAGAAGCCTGAGGTGACGATGGATTGGTTGTTGCGTGAGCTGGGGGAAGCAAATATGTTGATACCGCCCAGAGTTAATGTACACGTGCATCCATCCCGCGTGATTGAGACACGCTTTCAATCAGATCGTGGGTGCCTGGTACATTTCGAGACGAATTATTTCGCGTCTCTTTTTTATTCCTACGTGCCTCATTCGTGTCACATGTGCTGTGTCTCATGAGCTAAGCTCGGCGAGCTCCAGGGAGATCGGCAGCGTACCTTTGTCCTGCGTGCATGCTAAAAGTGACTGGTTGGTGATGAAGAAAACAACGGAGACTGTTGATCGAGTAGTCCTGTCACACTCTAGTGTTGCTGGTACAGCTGATTGATCTGAACCATATGGTATTCAGTTTTTGAGGGTTAAGAGATTGTGGTTTTATAGAAGTATTTCAAGCGGAAGATGAGTTAAACGATTACAAATCATTTACCGGCGGGGTTATTTGTTATCGATCCATGCGCTTTGAATTTTCATGGTACATGATTTCGCTCGACCAAGTTCAAACGATTTAAAATCAGCTCCTGATCATTCTCACAAAATTTGATCTCATTAGGATGTGAGCTCATACTGCACTTGGCCCTTTGAAGTTTATGTGGGAATTGAAAAATTGAACGTTAGGATAATTAGTACTAATTGATTAGGAAGATGATGTTCTTCTGACATGCTCTATTTACTACTCAGCAGACAACGTTGGAATAATAGGAAAAACAATCCAGGCTATTATGTCATAAGGGCAAGATGCAGTGTTGCCCTGAAAGCAGCCGATTAATCATTCCAGAAAGTTATCAACTTCGAAATAAATTAATAGCTAATTTTCTAGACATTCAATTAAAAAGTGGTTTTCAACAAAGTTGTTGCTGGGAAAATTTCACGTAGGGAGGGGGGAGGGGGGTCTTCGATTGACAACTTTTTACGTAAATCATTTTGGTGTAGGGCTAGAACGATGAGAACAAAAAGTACACTTCTCATAACAATTCCCATATAAACTTCAAAGAGCCAGTGCAGAATGAGTTCGCCATCAAATAGCTCAATTTTTGGGAGATTGATCAGCCTGATTTGAAACCAATTGAGCTTGGTTGATCAAATTGAAACCATCTTAATATAATAGGTATTTTCCAGCTGGTAGAGAACCAATAGTTCAGAAGGCCCTTTAAAAAAATGTCTTCGCTGTTGAAATTGATTCGTGTGAGCTGTAGCCGATAACATCACTAGTTAATTAAAAATGTACTTAAATTTGAGAACTGTTCCAATATATTTCTAATCTAATATTTATCTAATATATATATATATATATGATAATATTTCTAATATATTTAGAAAAAAAGCATGGTGTGTTCATCCCAAGTAGTAGTCAACCTGAAAATATGATGAGAAATAAGAAAACTGGATTGTAAATTTTAGGATGAATCCAAAATATTTGTCACACTCTGAATTTAAAACCATATTTTCCAAAAGGTTTTTTTAGTAGGCTCAATATCTTTGAAAGCTCTGCGGAGCCGAAGGACTTAACAAATTTTAAAATGGAGATCTAAATCAATTTCCTTCTTTTTTTTTGTTTACAACGCAT